CCCCTAGAGCGTTCCCTAATTTAGGGGCGGCCCCCTTAAAACGTTTTTTTTATTTGTTTAATTTTTGTTTTTAAACAAGATAAAGAAAATCAGCACAACAAGGATTGTTTTTATTTATCGTCACGCATTGGGGTTTTAAAGGTACTTCCACTCGGAGCAACTGCGACTCCTCAATATTTAATGAAAGTCTTTCTTTGTCAATGTTTTCATTAATTTTGTATCATGTTTGAAAGAAAAGCACCCAGCACAGCAATGGTTAATACAGTTACATTACGGAGACTTTGAAAATCTGCGTAATGCTAGGGAGCAATCTATTCGTAAATAATCGGAATGTCTGAAACATGTAATATTGGAAATTTTTCGAATTTGGAGTACTAGACCTCAATCCAACGAAAATGTTGGGTCGATTCGATAGCGAAAATATTGAATTATACATTGGCTAATCTTAGCCGGCGCATCAAGTCTTTTCTCAAATTGAGGGAAATAATTCATCGAAAATTGCCCCTTCAAGCTGAAGGGTAGGCCAAGGGCAGTTGCCTGACATGATTAGGTATCATCTTTCGCAAATTACTGTAGTAGGTGTCAATTATGATAATTAAGGCAACTTTTATTTCTTCATCAGTGTGTTTCTTGTTGAAATTAGATTTGAGTCAAATTTTTGCAAATTGGCACCTAATGTTTTCTTTCTCTTATGTCTGTTACAGAGGATTATGGAACACGCCGTATGTTTCAACTGCCATCCTGATCAATGCAACTTTATTCCAAACAAAAGCACTTCGTCCAATTTACAAATACCAGGGTCTTGATCCAGATATGAGTTTTTGTGCCTACTATCGAGATATGGTAATGCAACTCATTTTGTCCAAAAATATCCCTCCTCCTCTTTCTCCCCATAATATGAACATTAGTAGCAGAAGAATTCCTCCTCTTCACACAGGGTAACAAAAAAATTTTATTTGGGGGATCTCATTTAGCTTGTTTTAAGGGGGACAAAATAGAATCTTCACTTAAGCATTGCAGGATTTGACATCTAGATATGAGTTATGATGTGAAACTTTCTTTAATGTAAAAATCTTTAGACAAATTGTGCTAATGCTTTCACAGTTCACTTGAATCGTCAGGAAAATAAAACCATTTTAAATTTTGAAAAATGCAGAAAATTGCACGAAGTATGACGCAGATGTGAAATCTGTAATATTCAAAACTATGCTTTTTTTTCCCTAGACATTTAATTTTTTAGCTCTGCATTTAGCTGTGGCAAAGTATTTTTAAGTTCAATGGACCCTTATTACCTCAAAAATATTAAAAATGTAGACTCTTTTGGAACTTGGTGTACAAGCTAGTGATCGGTATATCTCTCTTCTTTGTGGCTGATCGTCATCATGCGCAATTGAAATTTTACCTGGTACATAGTAATTGGTGGACGTTTAAGAATTTCCAGCTTTGGTCCTCTTTTTCAATTTTTCATCATTTTTTTTGAGCAATAACAATTTATCTTAACCAGTACTTATGTTTCAATCTCCATTTTAGTACACTTTTATGTACGTGGACAACCAAGTCATCTATGGTCATCTTGTTAGCAAAGACTTCTTTGACACAGCAAGGACAAACCCGGACTTCTATGAAATGCGGGAAAACAAGTATGATTGGGACAAACGTTATCTTCATGAAGAGTACTATGAAAATTTGAAACTCGGGGCCGCAACTCATCAGGTATTGTCACTAACCCAATGTTAAAAAGAATTCTACATATGTTCAAGTTCATTTGTTTACTTTTGTAACTATATTTCCTACAATTGTTTAATCCATTGAACAAATTATTCTTCGTTTTCTTCCCCCTTAGCCATTGACACATCCAGCAAATTGGCATAATTGCTTTTCTTCCATTTAAACCTACTGAAATGTATCGATTCTTCTAGGGAGTTAGCGCTTCAGCAAGAATCGATTATTCAACACTGGTTTAAATTTAGGAAAGCCAGTGTTGCCACATTGCTGGATCCGCCTCTGCCCTCAGGCAACCTCTCTCGTCAGAGGATCACCATGAAAATGTTGCCAACATTATTCAAGGATTCTTATTGTTTCTTTTACCTTTTCCTCGGCATTTAAATGAAAACAAATTAATTTTTAGAAGAACCCTGCAGCAGTAAAAAATATTATCAAATGACAGCTCACTGGAAAAATCATTTTCCCTTTTAAGTGATGATCTAACTAGGTTGAAAAAGCTCACTCGAGTTCAACTCTCTTTTCCCCCCTCTTCATCCCCTTATTTTTTCCATAAAGTGTCATTTTTATCGTTGAAATAATTTCTTTTTTGCCCTACAAGAAAATCATATCACACCTTTTTCCCGATAGAATAATGAATTGAAGTTAATTACATTGGAATATCATTACGTTTTATGATGCTTCTTTTCTTTTTTTTGTGCCAAGATTTGGCAATTCTTGTAGTTTTTCTCACCAGTATATTTAAGGTACTTGCTCTATCCTCATGTTTTTCATATGTACTAGATTAATCGCAGCATTTTATTTTTCAGTCAAATAAATTTTCTCTTTCACTTTTATTCACAGACTAAGAAATAGAGGATGAAAAAATGAATAATCAATGATATGACACAGGTTTAATTAGGTTTTTTGTCATAGGTTGGTCTTTTACAACCAAGGTTAGGGGCTTTTAATTTTTATTCACGTTTGTAGACATAAGTTGAAGTCTCTCAAACACCCAAGGTTTTTTTAATGAGAAACATTAATATAATTTCTTTTTGTTGTTCTCAGCCTTGTCCTGATGTGTACTGGTTCCCCATTGGATCGCCAAGATTCTGCAAAGAGTTAATCGAAATAGTTGAAGCATATGGTCAGTGGTCAGATGGATCCAATAATGTGTGTACCTTTTACCTTTTTAGTTTACCAATCTTTTAAAATGATGATCTTTAAACTAATAGTTAATGCTCTTTATTTATCAAAATGCTGTCCTAGTACTTGTTCAATTATTTTCTTGTCAGTCACAGAAGAACGATCAATCACTTTTGATTAAACTGGATGAAAGTACTTTAAGCACAAGGTAGGAATCGTAGGATCCTAGTCAAGGTGACGTCTTTACACTGCATTATGCAGTGATTTCTCATTATTGAAGGAAAAAGCTCGTATGAGTATAATTTTCTCTCTTGGATTTTTGCTGTTTGGCACAACACTAGTTGCGTCCAATCAGAAAGTAACTGTAGACGCGTTCTACCTCTAATTGGAGCCATCATCAGTACAGTGCAGCTTTCTGACTTTCTGCTTCCACTCATGAAAGAGGCAAAATTTTTCAGTAAAAAAACGTTTTCAGAGTTGACAAGAAAATGCGGATTTTGAGATTTCCTCAGAAAATACCCTGGTATCCTAAAGAAGGGGCAGTTGCAAGTTGATTCGTTTATTCATATGCTTAAAAAATACATTAAGTTGCACTATAATCAATCAAGCAAATTGGTGCCCTGGTTTGGTAGATCAAAATTTTACATATCTTTTTCTTGTAACTTCTGTAATTGGACTGCAAACTTCAAACCTCCACAAATGCCACTTATCGTGAAACTTAAGGAATTTTTTGCCCCTTATTTTATGTGAAAACCCTATCTTTCCCCTGGTATTAATAATTTTTTTGGAGTTTTATTGAACCAAGGCTCCTGTCCTCATAGACAATCACATTTATACACCGTTTTAAATTGTGTGTATTAATAATTTTTTTCCAAAACGATAGGATTCAAGATTGGAAACAGGGTATGAAGCAGTTCCAACGAGAGATATTCACATGAATCAAGTTGGACTGCACGGTCAGTGGCTTGAATTTCTCCGAGTCTATGTGAAACCTCTTCAGGAGAAAGTCTTCATTGGATATCATCATGATGTAAGTATTTAGCTCTGGCCTACATTTTGTAGAGTTCTGTACGATTGAATCTTGTATCAGTATGTACGTAATTATGGTGTTAAGGGTAAAAAATGAACTTGGGAAACAGTTAAAATGTTACAAGAATATAATTTAATTGGCAAAATTTTGTTGCAATCTGTTTAATATATATTTTATTGGGTAAGTTAAATGTGAAAAATTGCTAGGGAGAGATAAAATGAACAGTCGAAAATCCAGGCATTAGTCAAATGATTTTAAAGAGCCATCAGACTTTTAAATCTGTAAAACACATGCTTCAAATGCTTTACAATGCGTCAAATTAAGACGAACTTCTTTAAAATCTTGTAAAGATCACTGTAATTAACCTCAGTTATTGCTTTGTTTCTTTCTTGTGTTGTACAAATATTTCTAAGTCATCCTTCTTAGTGAGCATAAAAAAAGTTTTTGCATGATTCCAAAATGCTGTCTTCTGAATCGCTGAAATTTTCAGGGTTTAGGTGTCCTTAAAAAGTCTTCAGTTATCCCTGTTTTTTCTGTTTTTCAAGTCCTTGAAATTATTTGATCTGTTGGAAAAGATGTGAAAGAAATTGATTGTTCTTAAATTTTGGAATTATAAGTACAATGTGGTGCTCTAACTTCATGAAGACCTTATGCCAAAAAACAAGGGGTGCTAGAATATTTTTCTGCCCATTGAATTGATCCAGCCTTGATTTCTGTGTACGCCTGTCTGTTCACCTGAGAAATTTCCTGAAACACCATAAAAAACCTTTATGGCTCCCAAAGCAGTAAAAATGGTACCTTAAAGTTACAAAAACCGACCAAATTGCTCTTAAAATTCGAAATGAAGTCAGAACACCGGTCCAGATACCTGAAATTTTTTTTTTTCATTTTTAAGTCTCAAGTGTAATTCCATCTTTAAGTTTGTCTTTCATTTTTACTTGTATGGAAAATTTTTTATTCACATGTGGTGTCCCCTCTTTCTCAGCTGTCTGACTCTGAATTAATCTTTTCGCCTTTTGCACTGCATCGGTTCTTGGCTTATTTTCAAGTGAAGTTTGAGTGTGCTGTCAGTGCAGGGACTTGTCATGTGTATTTTTGAGAGAGAAATTTCTGCTGTTAAAGATTTTCAATTTCTTTGAAAACTCTCCCAAAAAGTCTTGAAAATTTCTTGTGTTTCCAGCCAGGAGTCCTTAAGTAAAAAATGTTGTTAAAGACCTTGAAAAGTCATCAATCAATTTTATTTTGTTCTGATTGCATGTAGCATGATTTTGTAAAAACTACTCAGAGGTGCATAAAGAGGCGCAGAAGAAATATGATCTTATGTTGAAATTTTAAAAAATTATTGGAACCTCATTGAGCAGAACAAAGCAATTTACTTCAGATATTGTCAAGCTTTCTTTTTGTTTCTGTATTACATATAAATCAATCCGTACATCTTATTGATACTTTCAGGGGTTAATCTTGGTGTTGGAAGGAGTCACTACTAAACGTTTCCGATCCATTGGCGCGTTGATGAATTTTTTATTGAGAGAATGTTATGACTCGTGAATTGTGGCAATATCTAAAGTGAGTTGTTTTTTCCTGCCTAATGTGGTCTGAGGTAATCTGAGAGAAAGTAGTTGTATTGCTTGGCACATTTTTTATGCAAAACTTGTGATTTAAGTCATCTGAGTAGGCTGAGTTATTCTGAATCTAAGAATATTTTTCAATTCTAACATTGGATACTGACATATTTAAATGCCAATCAAATTCAAGAAACTTTTTAAATATTTCTTTTAAAGCATTATTGTATTTAAAGTGGAGAACTTTTTAACTTTCATTCAATAAATATTTTTCATTCAAATTTCAAAGTTTAGCCTCTCAAGGGAACAACATTATAAAGTAAGCATGTCAAGATTATATGTTTCCTCCCAGATTACCTTGTGGAAATGCATTTTGTTCTTAAGAAAATGTGTGCTTTTGTATTCTTGTTCTATTTTTAATAATAAGGGCGACTCTCGAGGCCTATTTCAAGATATTTAAAACTAAGAAAAAAACCAGCTTTGATTCATTGTTGAAAGTAGCCTCATTTGGCAACAACTGATTTTTTTAGTCCAATGAAACTAAAAAAATATCCATTCTCTCGCTTAACTCACCATTAGTAGGGATTTCAGAGTGCAGAGAATGAAGAATGGTTGCATAAGGTAGAGTCATCCGTGCTCTCTAGCTGCTAAGACAAGAGAAGCTAGCTGTACCCTTGCAAATAGGTAGACTCCACTTCTCCCCATCAATAAATCTTGCAAAACTGATAAGTTGAAGAGTGAAGTGTCCAAAAGCTGCCAGGAATCTGCGAGGCCTATTTTCAAGTTTCAATATCGTTTTTCAAGCATAATCATTGCTTGATACCTTTACCACGAATTTTGAATTCTCTCGCCAAAATTACAACCAGTTTTTCCAGTAATTCTCAATGTAAAGCTTACAAACATCAGTCGATATCAAAGTGCAAATCTCGTGCTAACAATTACTGTCTGATCGGTTCATATCTCTTATTATTCTGAAGGCACGTTTTTCATGTTGAAGGAAAAAAATACTTAAATTTTGAAGGGCATGACTATGTCATGTGAGTTGAAAAGATTAAGAGCTACTGCACTAGAGCATACCAAAATTTCATGTAACAGACCGTATCGTAACACATACTTTATTTTTTTCTCACATATCTCTCTCTCAAGACTGTTGTTTGGTGAATAAGTGATTTCTATGACATCCTTCAACTAACTTCTTTTTTTATTTGTTTTGCAGTATCCCAGATCATTGATGAATTTTGTTGTACGCTACAAGCCAGGAGAACAACCCTCCTTAAGGCCTCATCATGATTCGTCTACTTATACAATCAATATTGCTCTAAATGAAGCGCATAAAGACTTTGAGGTAATTCATTCTCTTTAATACTTCTTCTTCAATCAGAAATTATAATATGTTCTTATATATGTTCTTGTTATATTATAATATATTAATTATAATATGTCATCATTATAGTTTTGGCATTCATAAATGTTTCCTTTGTTTATCATGAATCGAGCAACCTGAAGTTTGCAAGAGTTGTGCTTGATTAAAACTTTGTTTTATATGTTATATCGAAAGTACTTGAAAAGTACATTTAGATAATGTATTTAAGTGATGTCCCTTAAGAAGAAAAAAATTATGGATTATAAAGGGCTTTGACAACAAAATAATACAGGTATATGTTTTGTAAAGAGCGACTTTGCAACACATATAGAAGTTGTGCACAACTTTTTCTTGCCCTTTGGCTCAGCGCCCATTACATATTTTGAAGAGCCAAAGCCTGATTTTTAGGAGCATGGTGCTTAGTGAGGCTACAACATTAGTCTCAAACTTCTTCTGTTGTAAAAGAAATCTGAGTGCCACCTTTCAAAGAAGTCTTCAATGCCTAAATATTTTACTCTTTTTTTCAGGGTGGAGGTTGTCACTTCTTAAGATACAAGTGCTCAGTGACGGACACTCGACTCGGTTGGATGTTAATGCATCCGGGGCGATTGACTCACTACCACGAAGGTCTAGAAGTTACCGAGGGAACGCGATACATTATGATATCCTTTGTCGACCCTTAAGTTCATGCAGTTTCAGCTGCAATCATCTTTATATTTTTTGCTCCTCAAGGGATGAACTCCAATATTTCTAAGGTTAATTTTTTACTTTTTTAATGTTATCTGAATAGGTACCAATTTATGTAGGCAGAAAAATGCAAATGAAGCCTTCTACATAACAACAATGGACATGCAATTTATTTTAAATAGAGCATCCGTTGTTGTTTTACTGACATAGTTACAAATGTCAAGAAAGCACGGGAAGAACTGAGTAAAAATTTGCATTATAATCGTTTGTGTGTTTAAAAAGAATGAATAAAAATCGCCAGAAATCCTAATTTTTTGCTGCCATAAACCAATTTGGTTTTTGCTCTGATAAGACTAATTTTTAATTTATAATGTCTCCTTGTAATTCAAAAAATTGATTTTTGTAATTTTAGCAGGAATAATGTTTTATCCATCTTTAAAGTATGCCATAAATTTTACCATTTTTATCAAATTTGCTATGCAGAAACTTCTGAGTCTTTTGAATCAAAACTTAAGTGTATAGATTCAGTGCCACTCATTTTTATCGATGAATCAAGTCAAAAATAATAATCGTTTTGTGTTTGAGATTTTTGTAATTTTTCAAAAAAATTTTCTTACTTTAATCAGTTAGGCTATCCTTGCTTTAATTTGCTAAAATAAGAATGCAGTATGCATTACAGACGCATAAGCAGACCCAGGAGAATCACTTAATTCTCGAAGAGTAAATTTTGCTTCCATTTACAACGCATATCATGCCTTACTAATCATCTCTTTTAATCTTTTGTCAAAATTTGTTGATGACAAAGCAAAAATCAGGATTTTTTAGAAGGATCTTTTTCTTATTTTGATGATTGGTCAGACCTTGATTAGTAGCGACAAAACTTGAGTATCATTTTTGGGCGTGACCCTTTTCTGTCCACCTACTTTATTGGTTTTGTCATTTTGAGTTTTGAAGGAACTTTATCTAGTCTCATTTTGGTCTCTTTATTGCTTACTCCTAAAAATTTTATTATTTTTGTAATCTCATTTAAATTCTAAAGAATGTCTAAATGGAGTAACAATTTTAAATTATCATGGGTTTGAAAGTTTTCACAATCGATCAAAGCCGATCATTTCCTTGTAATACACGATTATTTCAACTTCGGCACTTTTTCTTGTCATTAACTAATGAATTAGGGGGCGTCAAACTATGAGCTTAAAGTGATATGGGATCAGAAATTTTCAATGTATCTGCTTATTTACTGACAGAACACCTCCTTAAAATATGTTAAGCTCTGTAAACATTTAAAAACTTAAGAAAGCAAATGTAAATTGTAATAATATTTGATTTTTCTCCGACCTAGCATGTTTTGGGAATGTTTATAGTTGTACGTAAACACCTAACAAACAATCAGATGTTACTCATGATCTAGGTATAATACTCATTGATTTGTATTTCTTCTTACTCATTTTGTTTCGATTATTTCATCAGAAGTCTTGTTACTCATCAAAAATGAAATGATCCTTTTAACTTTCATTTATTTATTTGAAACTTTGTTCCCCAATTTTCGGTGTAATATAATTTTCTTGTGGCCTAGCAAACAAAAATATATGATCGAAAATTCTGCAATTTATACTCTTAGCACCGAGAAGAATCAGTAAAATTTTGGGTATATTTGTCTTTGGTTTACAGAGAAATATAGCAATGTCATTAGAATATTCATCAATATTGTTAACTGCTGTAATGTTCAATTCACAGAATTAATCAGACGTTTTTTTGGTGCGCACAGAAAAACTTCATTTCTGATAATTTTATAGTATGACATGCCCAACATTTGTTCTACCCCCCCCCCCCTTTTTTTTTATTTATTTAATCAGTGAACATCTGAAGTCATTGTGAACAAAAAATTCAATTTTTTTCATTGGATATTTTGAAGCTTTATTTTCCATTTTACATCTGCTACCTATTGTAAGTTGTGACTTTTTTGGCAGATCATTGAATCCTAGCTATTAGTTTGTACATAATTTTTAAATCAGTTCCTTTTTTATGCGAAAATAATCTTTCATGGGAAAAAATTAGGGCAAAAAAATTTGAAATTTACACACAAGTAATGGTGCCAAATTTCAATTTGTTTTCCAAAGTTTTCCTCTTTTTCTACATTGTGATTCTTCCATCGTTTATATCTAATTTTATAAATGGTCTTCTCTTTTCTTGTATATTATTTTTTCTCTTTTTGTAGGTATTTTGTTTTACTTTTAGTTTGTAATTCATTTTGCAAGATGATGCATCAGTCAATTTTGGTATGTTTTAATCAGTAAAAAGTCTCTCCTCGGGCAAATATTGGAGCCCATGTTACGTGTTAACCATTAATTTTATAGGTTTCATCTCTTCAAAACTTGGATTAGTAGTTAAAATTACTGTTCGCCTGTACAAAACAATTCCATAATAAATTTTTTTATTTTAACAGCAAAAGGTTTCTCACGTCTTAGCATGATTCAGAATGGAAATTTAAAGAAGAAAAAGCAATAAAAAATTGCTAAGTTTTTGAGGTTATTAGATAAAATATCTAATATCTAATGTAGTTATTTCAATTTTCTTGTGCAAATTTCTTATCAATTACTCGAAAAATTTGACCAGACTTGCTCCAACTCCTCCTCTTTTAAAGTTTTCAATGAAAAGCTGTGAGGCAGATTATTAGTCTTGAAATTTTCTCCTAAATGTAATACATATATTCTTGTCTATTTTTAGGCTATTAATTTGTTTAACATCTATCACTTCAGAAACGTTGGTATTCATCTTTTAATAGGCTCAATCTCACCAAAATTTGAAAGAAAGTAAGCATGAATATCAATTCTTCCTCTTTTACTAAGATCTTGTAGCTCTTAGAGAGTACAGCTCTTGTAGGGATGTATAATACATCTTGAAACAATGATTCTTTCAAAACATTCAATGAAATTAGACAAGACCTAGGTAAAATTAACTTTTAGTAAGAGTACTATAACAAGACTGTCTCTTATCCACTGAGCAGGTTTATGATCATAGATTAGCAATTGTAAAAAACCAAATTTATTCAACATTGACTTATGTCTTGATTTGGAGTTGGAAAAGAAATCGAAAAAAGACAAAGCACCGTTTAAGTACGTTGAAAATTTATTGAATGATAAGTGACTTCACAAGATAGAACATTAAGATACGTCAGCTTAATGTTAAAATATCCCATATTTCCATAAGAAAAATTAATATTAAAGCACAGTTTGGAGCAACATCCTATAAAAATATGGATTTATTCTTAATTGCTGCAATTGAGAAGAAACATTACAAAGTTAAGCACTTAATCTGTCGGAACGATGGTAATAACAGCACCCTTGGCAGAGAGAATTTTTAAGAGCTAAGTAAACTTAAAGTAAGTGGTATACATATACTAGTGGCACCATTGCATCCTTCGAGTTTATGTTCTAAAGGGCTTGATAGGACGCTATTTTTGACTTGAATGTACATATATACTAAGCCAAACCAAACCTAAATGCTTTTCTATGAAAATTTTGGACGTTTACTTTCGATGGCCGGACATGAAGAAGCAACATTTTTAAAAAAGGAGTTGAAATCTACAATAGGCCCAGGATTAGGATACCGCTGCTTAAATATTATCTTAGTTAAATATGGAAAATATTTTTTTATTAAATTAAAATATTTTTTATGTTTTTCAAACCAAAACTGAGGAGTTCTCAAATATTGGAGTTTAAAAGTTTCTAACTCATCAAGAAAATCATAAAGGACATCATCAAGTCCGTCAACTTGAATTAAATTATTAGATTTTGATTCAGATAATAATTTCAAGAAATCTTTGGACTCTAATTCATTACATTCCAAATTAACTTTTACCAGGTTTTTACAGATCAACAAAGGCTCAATTGGTTTTTTTAAATCCAAGCAGTGCCGTAAATAAACATCTTGTAATAATTCACAGCTTTTACATACCAAAATAAGAATTTCATCTGTGCAGAACTCGCCACAGTGAAAAATAGTCAAATTAGACCATGAGGCTGCAGTTTTCAGAGGATTACTTCTTAACAGCCTCCAATTTACATTCCAATAGTCATAGATTGAAAAACTTTTGATGAAGTACATTTTATCAAGTAGACCAATCAATTTATCCATTAGGTGATATGGATAGTTGCTCTCCAACAATTCGATTTTAGCGGCTCTGGTGCTAGCACCTAGAGCTGCTATTCCGGTCGGTCTCTGCAGTGGATGTTACCAATGGTACATTTATCATTGGTGAGAGCGCGCGTTGGTAGATGGGAATCGTCGCCATTTTCGGCTATGGACCTTGCCATGATTTTATTTTAATGCATTGTTTTTTATTGTGAGCGAATGCTATGTTGTGTAGTGTATTTTTGGAATCATGGTGATACTGTCAATAATTCAAAACTGGTCTGTGCTTTAATCTCGTATTGGAAAAAATGTACTTTACGTTTAAAATTTGAAATTTGAAATCTGAAATCTGAAAGTTTTCGCGCTTTCTTGGAAGAATGCCAAGGTTGGAGCTTCCTAGTCATACTACTCGACATCAGCTGATAGCAAACAAAGGTTACCAAGGAAACCGTAAACGCGTAACAACTGCCGTCGCCAGAGCCGCTTTCCGACGCGAATGCGTTGGAGCTTCCTACTTGTTTTCTATTTTCAGGAGGCAGATTACCTTTAATGTAGTGTCTAAGTACACCTCAACACATTTTGCACAGTCCTCAGATGGAATGTAAGATTCAACTGAATAATTTGAGTCATCTGAATCAGCTTCGCATTCGCATATTAAATTGCCCTCTTCACTCAGCTCAAATTCCTCCAATTCATACATTTCATGAATGCAGATCCATTCACGTTCATTGAAGAATTTTTTAATACTGTTTAAATGTATCTCAGCTAGTTTATTATGAAGGATTGGTGGCACCTGTTGCACGACCATCTTGAGATAATGGGTTAAAGTTTCATCAGTGAACTCTTTTTCCATGCGGCTCTTTATGATTCTTTTAATTAGGAAGTGTGCAATCTGAAGGGATAAGCCCTCCAAAGAAACAACTCCTTTGTAGGGCGTCATTTTCTGTCAGGTTAGCGACCTAGTAAAAAATGAGCAAGAAAATGTTTACTTAAAATACATGGATAATTGACTTCTATTTGTAATAATTAGGTACCTAATGAAGGTTCACAGGAATGATTAAGGTTTTGTGATAACATTTTTTGGTTTCTCCAAATTATTTTCTTTTTTACCGAGCAAAAAAGAAGAAAAACTCATTTTCTTGATTGAGCTTCTCGCTGCGATGTGCAAGAGCACCAGTCTTTCTCTGAAATCTAAGAAATATGAAAATGTATGCAACGAAATGTGGGCGATGTCAAAAGGAAATTGTGTTTTCCTTTTCTCTATCAACTGTTTAACACATGAAGATTTATTTCCTCTCATCTGTAAATTTTTGGTGGAGAACATATTTTGTCTGTATGCATTGAATCATGAGATCAACTGCTTGATAGATCATTCTTCTGAGATACCCATTTGGTAATTCCATGTACTTCAAAAGTGAAGGTGCTGAGCCTTCATCAAAACTTAGACAGTGAATAATTAAAGGAGTGAGAAAGATATCCATAGATACATACCAATGACACATTGAATGGCATATGGAATAACCAAATTCCTCTTACACACTGGAATCGCAGTGGATATAATGGGAAAAGAAAGAAAAAAAACCTTCCCCAAGCATCCAACACTAACAATATGACCTGTGTGCGTGTTCTCTTTTAATCAACATTTCAAGCCAGAGGAGATAAAAAGTGAAGTAATGATGCGCATTAGAGTTCAAAAAATGAATTTTGAATTTAATTTTAATTTTTGGAATTTCTTGGCTTTGTTTACCCCGCAAAATGGTGTGGACCCAGCACCATTTCTCTAACTTGTTATATAGGGAGATAACCATCGTGCTGCTGCTGAAGTAGATCTAGGAGGAATCCAGAGGGTCATTCATGGTTACATCAAATGCTGTTGAAATGTGTTTAAGTCTAGCTAAAGGACCCTNGGGGGGGGGGGGGGGGGGGGGGGGGGGGCTATAATCGTCCTGTGTAACGAAAAAACCAATTTTGGATCACAAAAATATATGTTCAGGTTTTGATACAAATAGCCTCATTATGCTTTCAAGAACGTTTGCTGATTTCCAGCCATCATTCTAATAATTATAAATGATTTTATGAGCTAATGAAGTGAGCGTCTCTAAGGATGGATATAACTCCGGCAAAATGTAGGTATTAGATTTTTTCTCAAGTGCTTCGTTTTGGTGGGGCCTTAATATGTGAATTGCTCTCAAAGAGTCAGTATCTACCTACTTGGAATTTTTGGGTATTCTCTGCGTCAAAAACGTTGCAGAATCGACTCTTTTGGCGGTATAACTCTTTTTTTAATATTTCGATGCACGGGAGTTGGTTGAGGGGCCGCTCATAAAATACGTAACGCTCTATGGGGGGAGGGAGGATCAAGGAGAGCTTTACGCCACTGCGTTTTTACGTGTTGAAGGATAGAGGCCTACGCTACGAAAGCGTTACATTGGGGTGAGGGGTAGAAAATAAGTGTATTACGTAATTTATAAGAGCATTGTAATTAATAGAAGACTGTTTTGACGTCTTTTGATGCTATTCAAACGTAAGGTTGTATTCGATTCACCATGAGGTGTTTCTGAACTTTTCTGTGAACTTACACCCCCACTTAGGTATTTTTTTGAAGGAGACACGTTGAAATCATTAGTCGAATGGACACCCATCAGTATCGCTTTCCCTCCAGACCGAGTACCGACCAAGGTGCGACTACATATGGTGAGTGAGAATTCGTGTTTGCTCTTTGGCCTATCCATTGATTTGAAGGAGCTCTGCTGACGGTTCAATTTCCTGAGCTTACAAATCAAATGATTCGTCGGGCATACTCCAGCAGTCCAGCTCCTTGCAATTCTGTTGAATGCTCTTACAGTCCCTGCTGTAAGCTATTTTTTCGAAGTACTTTATAATTCTTTATCTCTCTCTCTCGCTCGCCCTTGCACCTAAGAACATTGATCTCGAGGGTCGGATTAAGAATTGTTGGCCCATCCCCTTAGGCGCACAATGTAGTACTGGCCCCCTTAAAAAAAGTACTATTTCTGGAGAAATTGATCGTGATTAAATGCTAATCGATTCTCTGAATTGAATACAACGTTGCCTGTCCTCAAAATCGCAAAAAATGAAGGTACCTGAGCAAGACTTGCAGAGTTTTCTTTAACCTTGTTCTTTGTTTGAATTTTTCCCCCTTGTGGATAAATAATTTTGACGTTTAAGTGTGAACTTTTCAAAGAAACATTGCCGCAAAATGCATTGATTGTCTGAATGTAATACAACATTGCCTGTCCTCAAAATCGCAAAAAAATGGAGGTACCTGAGCAAGATTTTTAGAGTTTTCTTTAACCTCG